GAGTAATTTTATCTGAACTTTAAAACTTTCCAGATGTGACTCGGTGCAGGAAAATGAGACCAGAGTATAGAATGAACTCATTGGTGCCACATATTTCCAAAGACCACCACTGAATCCAATTTTACAACAAGTGGTGTATCTTCAAACAACGCATAAGCCTTGCGCTACAAATCTATGGTTGATTACACAAAAGTTGCTTAGCTATGCAACAATTAAATTACATGAAACTCCTTGGACGAGGACGATCATGACCTTTAAGAAGGCTGTTACTTTTCAGTGCATTACAACAGTTATTAAACAGTCCTTGAATTGGCTCAACCCGCATTTTAAAAAAAATTTTTCTTTATCAGAACGAGGCAGAAAATTTCAAAGTTTCTCACAGCCAAACAATTATATTGTTACCTCCAAAAAAAGATGTTTTTCATCAACCTTGTTAAACTGATCAAAAATTAGTCTTAACCGAATATGATTAGTTGAAATTTTCATATCTGCTTTGTAAAATGCTATGTAATAATGTTGCTTACAACAATTGCATAAGAAAGGCTATAATTTGTTGCACAAGTCGCGGTTGTACGCAAAGCCTAAATTTTATGACGTGTGTCAGAATTTTGTATCATATTCAAAGGCTGCAAGTCTAAAATTGTTTACAGAGAGTACAAAATTTTGTGGTGGCAATCTTTATCACTCTAACCAGGTTTGAATGTTCATTTTTATTTATATTCTGTTATGTCAAAAATAAAAGGTAGACTTTACACTTTCAATGTAAGACTTCCTGAAAATGAAAAAAGTGGCTATTTATATATCACAAGTGCTGATATTCTATCAAAATATTTCCAAAATTTCCTGACATCATTGTGGGGGAAAGAATTTCATACATGATTACCTTCGACTGTGACAATGATGGTAAACGTGCTAAACCTTCCCATAGAGTCTGTTAGAGTGTAGACGATACTATTGGGCCCTATGTCTAGCATACTGTTGTTAGCCGGTGATGTGGTGATGTTAACAGCGTCACCAGAATTATCCACCACATTAGTTGGTAACGGCAACCTGACTATGGCAAAAGATTCTCCGCCTATGGCTGGAATGGTGAAGTTAGAGGGAGGTGTAAATCTTGGTGCTTCCTCATCTATTTAAAGCAAGAAAAATAAAGGAAAGATAAACTTATAAATATAAACACAACTAAATCCAGAGCAAATGCTCAAAATTTAATACAAGTTTTACATAAATCCTAGGGGATTAGTATTTCAAGTTTCAAGATAAGTTATTTGGAATAAAGTGTAAAGTACAAATTAACAGAAACTCTCCATTAAAATGCCAAGAAGGTTACCATTGCCCTTTTGTATGGAAGTTTTTAAGTTGGCTTGGCTTGTGGCTAGGGAATGTGATAGGTTGATTTTTGGTCCGTCAATTGAGTGCAGTCAGTTGGTTAAATTGGCTGCCTGGATTTCTGGAGCAGTGTAGCACCATCACAGTGTGTCCAACACTGAGGGTTTTCTATGCTTGGTCTGCAAGTTTTTTGCCCAGAATGCTCAAACAAGATTTTTGTCTCTGGGACTTGGGGACAGAGACCAGACGCCATCAGATGCAGTAAATCATGTTGAATTGTTCATGGTCAGCCTGACTTGAACTTGGTATTTCTGGAAAATCACTCTACATCACCAGTTTTTGTTTGGCTGGACCAATGAAGTCACCCAGGGACAACAAATGTTTTAAAAAGGCCCAATTAAGAATGACAAAAGTAGAAACATGATTCTAGTTAAGAACCCCAAAACATAAGGCAGGCTGCATTTGGTCTCTCTAGCTGGTTTTAAAGTTAATGGTAATGAGAGTAGGTCAGGTTGGTTGGCCAGTGCGGAAAGAACTATTTCACAGGTCTCAATATGCAAGTCTGTGTTTCAAAGTCTGGTTTTGGTCACCACCTGGATCTGTTGACATGTGACTCACCTACAACTGTGACAGTGACTGTAAACGTCACCACATTCCCACTGACATCAGTTACAGTATACACAATAGCATGTATTCCTATGGGCAGCTGGCTATTGTCAGGCACTGATGTGGTGACATTGACATCTTGCCCTGAGTTGTCAGTCAGGTCAGTCAGCAACGGAAGTCTGACAATGGCAAAGGATTCTCCACTGACCGTTGGCAAGGAAAAGTTAGAAGGACGTGTAAAGCTTGGAAGCTCCATGTCTGTATTTTAAAAAAAGACAAACACTCACAATATTTTACTTTCAATGCAGAGTTTAAATGAACAAGTGTATATGCACTTAAGATGGTTGAGGAATGTAAAGTATAATTTGGGAACAAAAAGTCAAACAAGTGCATCTAAATGCTTTAGACTTCAGTCTCAATTAAGTAACACACAAAAACAATCATCTTAAAATCATTCCCATTAGATGTTGAAAGTACAAATACATTTACATTAATTTAAAAGTTTTGAAGAATTCAACTTCTGATGGCAAAAGAAATATAAAGAAAACTTATGAACATATCTGTTACACTTCCATTAATTTTAAAGGTTCTTTTGGCATTGCATACCTACAGCACAGTGCCTAAATTCAAATGTTCTATTGACCTCTGGTTGTGACTGTTACATTTATAGCAACCATGGAGCCGCTGTTTTGTTTCTTAGTCAATGCCCTCATTTTCTCTATGTTTAATGTCAATTTTGCTTCAACTTAAGCAATGAAAAATGCTTACTTTATTGCATGAACTGACCTCTGATTGTG